ATCCCTGCGGTGTTGTCAACACGTAAAAATCATTCTGCAGATTCCTCATCCGGGGCCTGATATTGACAACACACTGACGAAAAAACACAGAAGCAGCGGCATCTCATCAGAATGATTCAGCACACAGGAAGTTGTAAAAGGCTTTTTGCTTTACTCTTGCAATGGAAATGTGTCACTATTTTTCTCTAGCCCAGCAGTTCCTGAACTGGGGTCAGGTCACTTTAGATACATCTGAAGCCTCAGCAGATGATTGAAAGAGAACTACATCAATTTAGCAATGTATCCTATGAAAAATATCAGCGGTTAAATGATACAGATGATCCATAGAATAGTTTAAAATCACTGCAGCAGAACCAGATATAGGATGTTGTTTTTCAATCCAGGGCAGCATTCTTGTGAAAATAAGGAGAGAGAAACGTTTTTTCTGTATGGCCAGTATGCATGAAAAAAATTGACAATAAAGATGACTTTGACGACACAGGTCAGGAAAACCCATCTCTCTCTTACACCAGTTATTAATCATTTAAAACATCTGACTCAAGTGACATCACTTGAGGCAATCTACCAAGTATTGCACAGCTACCTACCCCTGAAACAACACAGAGATTTATACATCTCCATCATGGTATACAGTGCTCCTTACTAGAAAACTGCAAAAGACCTTGACGTGTACTTTTGGTGGCGTTCCTTTTGTTTGTTTTTTGAAGCTTTGCTTAAAATCTTTGAGAAATGTGAATATATCTTAACTTCATGCAGCACACACACAACAACTGTAACAAGGGGTCACAAGCCAAAAAGGTTTCAAACAACAGCCCTAGCGTGCTTTAAATACCTTGAAACCTGATTAACCTACACTCCCAATGATTGCCATTCACCTTTAAGATGTTAAAAAAATCACCTTTATGAATGAAAGTTTGATTCACATAACTGAATCACTTTTTCTTGAATGCTGTCATAGTTTGTTTTTTTTGCAGGAACAAGCCCACACTTTCTTATTTCTTGTTGTGATCGTCCCTCTCCAGTATCTCATCTCCCTTGCAATTCGCTCTGTACTCCAAATAAAAAAATAAAAAAGTCAGTGAAAGCATGCACTTAAGAAGACGAGGTCTCAGAAAACAAACTCCGGAAGCCACTGATTGACAGATGTGTCTGCCCACTCTGGTTCGCCGGCTGAGGCCGTGGCTGCTGCGGCTGTGCTGTGGTTGCCACCGGCCCATGTCTGCAGACTTCTGAGGCATGGGCCATTTCTAGGTTACAACAACACCACCACACTGACATCGCAACGCCCGGATATCCGAAACACTTAGGAACTCATCGAGACAGATTTAGTTTGAGGCTTGTAAATAACTGCTGCCCCCTACAGAACAACGACGCATCTTCTCATTTTCTCTGAAGAGCTAAAAAATACTTCACATTACACCGAGTTTATGAGAGGCAAAATGGAACAATGCTCCTGTTTTTGAGGGCTTCATCATGTTTACAGCAGTCTTGCAAAAATATTTTAAGCGTTTCACCTAAAATATGTCAATAGTAAAAGAATCTATTTTCTTCTTTGCTCTGCGAGGAATGTAAATAACAACACGGCAGCATCCGCCTGCGGAACAACCATACAAGGTCAGCGGTGCTGGACTGAGAGAGCCCCACACAAACTACCACTCTGAGAGGCTGTACAGTACATAATGATGGCATTCACATCAGTGGTTGAGGGGGGAAACTGCCTCCTGACCACTTCCAACTAACAAAGTCAAATTAAGACCAATGATGATGTCACGACTGCAGACTAAGCTGGTCGATCCAGCAGGATGTCTTATTTCAAAATACTGCCTGCATGTGTCACAGATTGAGTTTTTGTCACAAATCTTAAAGTACAACAGGTGTATCTCATTTTTTCATTTAATATTGCTGAATAAAGTTAGAAAATGCAAAATTTCTGGGGCCAAAGTGGTCGGTGCTTGCCCAGTGAGGCATCCTGTGAGGTGTCAGGTAATCACAAAATGCGTTTTAATATCTTATACCTAAATGTCAAAAAAAGGCAAGCACATGTGAGAAAGTTTGAACACTGGGTGCTGAACAAAAAACATCCAAAGATAGAAAAAAAGCACTGAGTCCGCACACCAGAAGCTGCTCCAATTGACTTCAATTTAATGGAAAAAATCACAAGTGACATTACGTGCCCTCGCCCTTCATCAGACCCGAAACTGAATTTGTTATTTTTACATTAAATTCAATTTAATTGGAGCAGCTTCTGGTGTGCGGACTCAGTACTTTTTCTATCTTTTAATGGTTTATACCTGCCTTAAGACTGCATATTTACATCGACGCATACTGCAAATATGTTGATTATTGATTGCAATGAGGTGTTAAAACAATTACTTTACTTTAATTATGATTAAGTTAGGCTAATGATGGACAGTCACTTTGATGCAGATTTTTTGGTGCGCTTTGGACGGAAGAGGAGAATCTTCATCTACAATGTGTAAGACCTGTGGGGTGTTTTTTGAGTCTTGTGTGCTTGTGCTTGAACGTGCGAAACACAATAATTAATATGTCTTACTGACTAACTGTTAAGAAATGACTATAAAAGGTCAAACAAAACATGGTCTTAACATTTAAGAAACAAAGATTCAAGTGAATATAAGATCTGAAACACAAACACCAAAGTGTATACGAGCCAAATGAAATGAAATGTTTTGATGAAATACCAAAATACTTTAAATTCAGAATAACTTTCAGCACTTCTAGAAGAGTGATAATCTAGTTTACTGAGTGAACCATATACATATACGAGTATATAATATAGTGTAGCATAAATATAATACACTCTGTTCCAGTGGTCACATGCTTTTGTTTGGGAACATGAAGTATAAGAGTGGAGGCGGAGCAATTTTCACTCCAACAACATAAATCTAAACGGCTTCCTGAGCGGAGTTAAAAAGGGATGTATACATGGAGGAGAGCCAGATAAATGTCGTTTTATGATTGAGTTTAGGATTCCTCAGGTGTTACACAAGCACCTTCGCTACCCACAGCTGCTATAATGTTGTCTGGAACACGCGATAAACATGTATATGTGTGGTTGGAAGCGTGATGTTGTGACCGCAGTGTTTGCATGACTGAATCTGGTATTTTGGTCACAGCTGTAGGCAGCACTGGAGGAGTTCAGGAATGTGTGACCACAGGGCACTTTGGCCCCCACGGCTGCACGTCTTCCTCTCTTGTCTGGGGCCCGAAGACACGGTCCATCACACTCTCCTGAACGTCTCCTCCAGGTCCACTGTGTGACAAACCGCAGCCGACCGACCGCCCACCCACGCACAAGCTTAAAAAAAATGACAACCCTCTGCTCCGGACGGCGGCTGCTGCTTCAGAAGTGCAGTAAAAATGGAGCAATTTCCCTTTTTTTTTTTTTTTGCTGCACTTCAGAAGGAGTCGTGATTGTTTCCGCCCCAAATGTGGGCGACTGTGCGGCTGAGGATGTTCATGTCAATCCACAGATTGAACTCCGTACCTCTGTGATCTGAGGAGCTGCAGCCTCAGACTCCTGCTGCCATCTTCTGGACTGCTTCACTGAATTCACTCTCATAAATGTCACTCACATGGCCTGCAAACACATGAAACAGAAATGTAATCTCTAAGTAAACACAACAAAATGATGTTGCATTATTTTAATCAGCTGGGTTGAAACATTCAGGATAAGATGAGAGTAAACTTGACCTGAGGGGTAGATCCACTGTGTGTGTATTTATGTACTAAAACAAAAATAATTCACATTAATGTCCGAGTATAAGAATACAATTCAAGTTTGTTTTTTTTACAATCGGCAAAAAAGATCATGACATAAATCTAGATCTTTCTGACATGTTTACACACAATGTTTACATTCTTGATTTCATTCTTAAATATAGTTTAGGGGAAATGATTTTAAAACATATTTAGAGTGAGTGATGTTTATTTTTCCACACAACTACATATTTGGCTGATAGGTACTGTAAGGGTGGTATGATGAGTTACTAAATTAGCCTTTCAAAAGGTCTTTTAATGGTGAGAGGAAACCTATAGCATATCATTTTATAGAATATTTAAAGAGTGAACAAACTTTTTGATATGGGTCGCATTTTTATTTTATTTTTTTAAAGATGCACGGCCATTAAAAGAGAATATATTCAATAGATAAATATAAAGTGTGTGCCCTCTGCTGGACAAACTGTGTAATGACTAATACACTCTTTCTCCATGACTGAAAACACAAAATATATTTATATTGTAACTTATGGTGATGCTGTAACATGATGCTAATTTAATGAAGTGATAAGATGTCATTGAGAAATTAAACTAGTTAACTTTTTTACTTTTTATTTTTTATCTTTATTTTTTTATTTTTTTATTTTTATTTTTTTTAAATCATTTTTTTGTACATTCTTATTTTTTTATTTTTTTATTTAAATTGTACTGTGTTCACTTTTTGCAAGCTTTGCTCTTTGCTGCTGTAACACTGTAAATTTCCCCCTTGTGGGATAAATAAAGGATTATCTTATCTTAACTCTCTGCATTCTGCCCCAGGTATTTTATAATTATTTAAAAAACAATTATTATTCTATAAACATAATTATTTATAAGCATTTCAGTCAGAAAACAAGTTCAAGTTACCTGGGAAATTATATAATTCCGAGGTTAGCTGTAACTGTTGAGTTTATTAGCAGCTTAGTCGTCTTTTTGTGTAATTAAATTAATCACACCGACGGTATCTCTCTGTGGAGGTGTTCTCATGTTACTTTGGGTCAGAAACTATCACGTAGTCGTGTGTTGTCATATTTAAGAGAAGCAGATTCGACAAAATGTTCTTTTTTTTTTTTAAAGAAAAAAAAAACATTTTCCTGACTCTGTAAATATCTACCCATTTCGAAGACTATGATATCGGACGATATGCTTGAGTGTTAGTGTAATTTTTATCTTGAGTATTTTTTAAGTGGTGATTTATGAGAAAACGAATCAGCTTCCGGTTTTCGTAAAATTGGTCAACAACGCGTCACGTCTCCTCGGTTCAGGCGGGCTCGTTTGAAACAGCAGCAACGTCTTCAGTCGTCCCGATGTGTGATAAAAGTGACTTTTATGAGTTTGTCGTGTGAATACGATTAAGTAGACACATGTTTACATTTAAAGCAAGGTCGACTTAAGATAGCGCAGCAAAGAAGAGTTTTTGTGTGAGTGTTTACACAACAACAACAACCTGAACACGTTGTTGTGGTTGATGTTTTCTAGCTGAACAAGAAATAGTTTTCATCTCCTAATTTCACAAACAATGGACCGACCAGCAAGGTTTGTAAACAGTCTTTTAAACCTTTAAAAACCCTTTAACCTGTTAATGTGATTGTCTGTAACACTGACGCGTTTCTTACAGGAAGTCAAAGGTTGTGAATTACTGTGAAGCCAAAGACTTTGATGACGGTGAGACGTTTGTTACATTTGTTTACGTTGATTTTTCACAATTCCTATACAGTTGTATTATACTAATGTACTGTTTACTGTATTTATTTATTTATTTATTTATTTTTTATTTATTTCATTTATTTCATTTATTTTATTTATTTATTTCATTTATTTCATTTATTTCATTTATTTCATTTATTTTATTTATTTATTTTATTTATTTTACCAGGCAAGAATTGCTTGAGATCAAATGACTTCTTTTTCGAGCAAGGCAGCAAAAAAAATAAAAAAAATAAGACAAACCCAAAAAGAAAGCACAGACACGAGAAAAAGAGACAAATACAGTCCAGAAGGTGAATAAAATAGAATAAAATAGAATTACTTTATTGATCCCAAACTGGGAAATTGTGGCGTTACAGCAGCAGGTTATCCAAACACACAATATGAGTAAAAAAAACACAATATAAGCAAAATTAAACACAATATGATATTAAATACAAAGTAAATAAGCACTAAAAATATCAAAACTAAGAATGTGAATATATATACAAGCAGGATTTAATTTAGCATTACTTGTCTTAAATAGGAAGATTAAATATGGAAGATTAAATGTAAATGTGTAAAAACAGAGTTGTAAATGGACAGTATTAACATAAGTTAAAGTGCATGAGTGTAAACATTATAAGCAGAAACTATACTATATAAAGGCGAGTAGACAGACAAATGAAGTGAACATGAGTGCAGGGATCATTTGTAAATGTAACATGTGCAGAACAGATTACAGTAAAGGAGAGACAGATATGATCATGATGACAGTTCTCCGCTCGTTGTACAGAGAAGAAGGAGGAGGAGGACAAAATCACGTTAAAGAAAAAAAAAACAACACACAATACACACTAAAAGAACAATTATGTGATGATGATAAAATACTATGCAGTGAAACATTAAAACACTTAGTGATGAGTTCCTGTAATTTGAGTGTTTTTTGAAGACTGTTCCATGCGGAGGGAGCAGAGTACATGAAGGCCCTCTTCCCAAACTCAGTACGAGTTCTGGGGACTGACGTAGATAGAAAGTCCAGAGAGAGCAAACTGTATGATGGATTTGATTTAAAAGTGAGGTAGGTGCAGAGGTATGAAGGGAGTAGTCCAGTAATTTCTTTATAAATGAAGGTGTACCAGTGAAGAAGCCTACGAGCTGACAGGGACTGCATGGGACGTCCAGCATGTGCAGAGAGGTAGAGCAGGCAGTCATGTACAGTACATCACCATAATCTAATAATGGAATAAAATCCATGTATCCATCAGGTAGTATTTAAACCCTCGCCCACACAAACATGTTATACTATCATACTTATCCACCATATAGCAGCTCTGAAGTCTGAGACAAATTGTTGTTGCTTTTCACCGCCAACACATCTTCATGTTCTCTCTCCATGTTTTTCTCAGATGAGGATTTTGCCTGCGCGAAGGCTCCGCCCAGTAAAAAGGCGAGGGAGGACGTAAAGATGGAGCACAGACGATCTTTGAGCAAGTCCTCCAGTCAAGAGTCCAACTTCCAAACCTCAGTGATCCAGAAGAGCAGGTGATGTTACAAGAGAATGTGACGTAAAGGAGCATGAGCTCAAATAAAGAATTGTGTCGTGAAGAAGATCGATAGCACATGAGAGAAGACTTAATGTGAGAAATCTTGATGTGGTTTTCACCCAAAAGTAAAGCAGACACATAACAGCACACAAGCGTTATATATATCGCGTCACATCACACATGATCACACGCTGGCTGTCCGTCACTGCACCTGTTAAAGATTTCATTCTTTGCTCTGTGAATTTCAGTTTCTCTTTTGTATTTAAGAGCAAAAAAACTGAAGCTATTGACTCAAATCACAACACTCAAAGGCTCCACAGTTAAAAGCTTAACAAAGTTTTCCTCCGTGTTGACACAAGTCTAAGCACAACAACACGGATGTGGATATTAATAATGCACCACTATCTCCACTTTGTTAAAGAGTTCATATTCTGCCCTTTTATGGGGTTTGTATATTTAATCTATGTATCTACTTTTGTACGTTCACAATAGCTAAAGTCTGAAAAAAGTGTCTGTTTTCATGAACTGCTCCTCCTTGCTCCCTCTACGCTCTGAGTCTGTCAGCTACACTCTGTTGAGCCCACACTGTTAGACCCACGTGGGCCAAGTCTGCTCTGATTGGTCTGCCGATCCGCTCTGTCGTTATTGGTCAGTTGCTCAGCACGCGTCTTGGAAATTTCAACATGAGCTGCAGGGCTTGCCACAACGAGCCAATGGGCTTAGATCAGTGATCTCACACTGACAATGACGCCGCACTGACAAATCTTTATCGAGGGGGGCTAGAACCGAGCGTTACATGCAGCTAATGCTACAGCTAACAGGAGGACGTAGGAGAAGCTGCGTTTCCGCGGACTTTGAATTTTTGCACATAGATGTACCTAAACATGCACAGGACACTTGGAAAACACACTAAAGGCAGATAAAACCAGAAAAAGCAGAATATGGGACCTTTAAACAAGCTCTGTTGAGGGAGAAAAATGAGTGCAAGTGACCTGTGGAGCTCCCTCGTTCTTCGTCCATGTTTATGCGAGCGACAGAAAGGAAAAGAGAAACGAAGCGTCAGGGTAAAAATGGCGGCTTGTCGCTTGCGGGCTGTTAGGACTGTCCAACAGGGAATTATTGAATCACGCTGTTTTTGTCACTGATGCTCGCTCGCGTTGCCTGCTCTTAGGACTGACTGTAAAAGTTCCCACATAGGTACTGACTTGAATGGATACATTTGTAGAATGTCCCTAAATGTATTTAGAGTTTGTCAGGCAAGTCTGCTGCTTGGAAAGAACGACATTGACATCACATGACTCGAGAAGGAGTGTTCACTTCTCTAAGAATGAAGAAGAAAAACAAACAGTTCATATGTTGGCATTAGATGGGTGTGTGTGAGTTCTTGGATCAAAGCCCTGGTTACACCTCGCCCTTGTAGATAAACAGATTTTTTCTAGATTAAACAGTTGAAGATAAAAAATCACATTTAAAAAGACACATGTAAATAAATGATTTACTCCTCAGAAGTTTAAATAAACATGTCAGCTGTGTTTTCATGGCGTCCGAGGGAAATGAAAGTTGAAAACCTTTTAAAATAATCCAATGTTTCTTCATGTTACAGAAGACCACTGGATGAGCGGTTGCAAGAGAGAGATCTAGAAGCAGCAATAACACTATCCATGCTCAATAGTGCAGATGAGAAAAAGGACCAACCTCTACCCACTAAAGGTATTACTGGATTTCTAATCCTTAATGTCTGTTAAGATGAAAGATCCACCGCAGACGTTCAGTTTTTTAAACGTACATGATGACCTAAATGTAACGGAGGGGAGGACGTCCGGTTGACGTTCCTCTGTACATGTACGTCAGTGGAAACAAAGCGTTATGTTCCTTAAATATTACATTTTTCTAGGAGATGCCAAGCTTCATGTTCCTGCTGATGAAAATACAGATCCAACTTCTCTGCACATTTCAAACTGCAGCGTGGACATTGCAGTTTTAGGTAAGTTTCCCTTCTTTCATCTTTTGTTGTTACACACATTATGTCTTGACTTCAATGTTGTTTGATAAGGAAGGAAAGAGTTTGGAAATGATCTGCAGCTGGTTAATGTTTTTTTTTTCATCCCTCAGGCCTGGATGAAATCACGCCAGTAAGAGGGTCCCTTCCTCCTTCCAGACAGAAAAAGGCTGCGGACAAGGATCAGTGGAAAAAGCCTGCTGAAGAAGATGAAGACTATAAGCCCAAACTGACACCAGGTAGTCCCCACGTTATCCCCCCCCCCCCCCGCCCTTTATTTACTATTTTGTTGGTAAAATCACAATAATGCCTTTCCAGATTCAGAAAGTGATGAAGATTTCAGTGAACCAGCCGAGAGCGACGATGAGGAGTTCACAGTGAAGAAGGTCAGCAAAACAAAAAAGACGGAGAAAGTTACCAAGACAACGCAGCCTCAAACTGTGTCGAAGAAAGAAAAGCAACCCCCCAAATCAACGAAACCAAAACCACAGGCGGCAGGTTCGTTCAAGACGAAGACACTTGAGCTTGTGCATGTGCTCGTAATAACGACGAGGTCATTATTAAGAGAACTGCTCTGTTCCCCACAGCCGCTTCACCACCAGTGAGAAGTCCTCCAACGGAAAAACTTGCACCCAAAAGACCTGCTCCGACACCTGTGGTCCCCAAGTCCAAACCTGCAGTGTCTGTGAGCCCAGCGGGGGGCAGAGTACCCAAGTGGACCCCACCAGGTGCAATAAATAAAAGCTATATCTATGTTCACACCTGCACAGACCTTATATAGTCTATGGTCACACACTAAATGCAGGATATAAACGTCATCCCCCCCCTTCGCTCTTCCTCTGGGTGAATTTTTCCAGTATATTTCTGTGTGTGAAACACCATATGTCACATGGATCCCCCCGACTTCTTTCAGAAAGTTAACTCGAGTTCGGGGTAAAATCAGAGTGAAAAATGTTTGCAGGAAGTTTTGTGCCTGTGTGCTGTATATCACAGACACTTGTGTTTTATTAAAAATGAAGGCTCATCGGGTTACTCTTTTATCCCTCAGGTCAAGTCGGTAGAAGTCTCAACTCATCTCTGAGTCCTGCTGGAAGGTCCCCAGGTCAGGGTCTGCGGCTGGGACTGTCCCGTCGTGTGCGAGTCAAACCTCTGCACCCGAGCGTTACGAGCCACTGACTGAAACGTGTGTGGGTGCAGTCGACAGAGTCCAGTTCTTGTTGTCCTTTTAGCTTTACGTCTTATTCTGAAGATGTTTGCAGGTAATTGTTTCTGTACAGGATGTTTTTTGCACCTTCAGTTTGATTTGGCAACAGAGTAAAGAGGTTCAGGAACAGGGACAAGGCTTTGTTGTCTCTCACAGTGTCATCATCACATCCATATCCGGAGAGAACTGGTGTGTGTCGATTCTTCTCCCATCAGAGTTCACGTCTCAGATTCAGGAAAAATGTGGGTTGTCCATTTCTTTTTAAATCTCCTAATTTCTCCCTTCTGTTCCATTGTGAGTCCAGACTGTATATTATGTACATATATATGATAACAATAAAATTTAAAAGCAATGAGTGTATTTATCTATTTCAAGGGTGCATTTCAAATTCTAAAAGTTATAGTAAGTTTAAGTTTCTGGAATTGAGAGTTTGCCTGCCATCTTTGGTTATAAAACAAAATAAGAATTTAAACAACATGGTGTCTCACACTTCTGCTGTTGTGGTTGTTGTGACAACTAAACTGTTGACACAAATATTTTTTTTTTACAGTGCTGAAGATCAAATCTTTTACAGCAAGGCAAAAAGCCAATTTAATCCATACTACTTTTGTTGTAGGATAATACAGGATCAAGGACGTCGAGTCCTGTTTCTAGTTTAAAAGCTCATGAATTCCCTCCAGGTGGGAAGGGTATCAAGAGTTAAAACATGTTTTAGAAGCCAACCACAAGCCTCAGCTATAACTCCCCTGAGTTATTAAAGTACATGAAGACTTCTGTCTGTGCAATAGAGGACATTATGGTTGCAATTATTACACAGACGTCACCTCTTAACTAATGATCCAATATTTTATCTTAATTGATTCCCTTTAATTTAAATAAGGATATCCCAGTTTCACAATTCATCGTATTTTGATGCAGTGACAAACAGGATCTGGATAAGGTGAACCCTGTAAGATTGTCTCTTTTTTTTGAGACAATTACAAAAAAAAACACTCACATCCTGGTTAATACTAAACATTGAGACAGTCTGTCAGCAGAGAGATTTTTCTCCTCCCATATTTACCTAAAGTGAATGGTAAATATCCTGCATCTGAGGTGAATGAAACAAAGAGATGTAGAGAAACTAGAAAACTGCTCTCCAAACTAATCCTAAAGTCAACACTTCACTGAAGATGTACCACATGCCGCACAGCCTGCTTAAAGGTCATCACTCCTTTCTCAAAAAAAAAAAAAGAGGACAGAACGGCTACAGTCCCGTCGCCCTGACCTCGATGAAGTGTCAATGGAGTCTTTCTTGAAACAATAAATGTATCTATCGAATTGGGAAAACCAGCTTTTCCATCTCGATATAACAAGAAAAAAAGAATTGAGATCTTTAGAATATGGCTGCATGTTCTAAACGTATGTTCATTGTTTTGGCACCAAAAATACTGAGACAAATTCCTTGTATGTGTAAACCTACCTGGCAATAAACTATATACCGACCTCAGGATATCAGATGACACGGCTATAGGGCATCAGTGTGTGTGTGTGTGTGTGAGTACAAGGAGTGTGGAGAAAAAGAGAGAGAGAGAGAGCATGTGAAATCAGAGGCAGGTGAAGTCCTTCTCCTCCTTTCTCTCAGTTTGAAGTGAAGACATTCACCGGAGCGGCAGAATGAGACCTGGTGGGATTAAAGGAGCACTTCTCATCTTGGCCGGCGGCGTGGCTCTGTTTTTCCTGTTCTCCATCAAAAGAGAAGTCCTCATCCACTCAGAGAGGCTGCAGAGGGCACACAACAATGACTCCATCAGGGGTCAGGGGATGGTCGAGAGGATGGAGAGGATGGAGGCAGACATCAACAGGCTGTGTGAGTCCTTGAGAAATAGTTTTGTGATCAATATGTTAAGGAAGTAGTCGATGTAATCTGCACTGAATTTGAGTGTGGTGTCACTACTTTAACTTAAGCACTGATTTTGAGTTGAAGTTTGAGTAACTCGTACTTCACTTAAAATGTTTCATTTTTTTGGGAGGAAAATCTTTTAAAAAATTGTCCAATGAATTCCCACTTTCTGTTGATTGATTGGTTGTTTCTGTGACTTTGAAACGTTCACTTCACCATACCACCAGACCTGACATCTTGTGTTGATTAACTAGCTCATGTAGCATTAACCTGAACAATAACCGTGACCACACCAGGACCAATTTATGTAAATACCACTGAAAACATTTTTTAGATTTGTTTCAACTGTGTAATTTAAAAGATCTTTAATTTTTAAATTAAAAAAACTATGCTCAAAAAATCATGTCCCTTCTTTTCATGTCACTACCGAAACACAAGAGTTTTAGTGGCTTGGCTGAGCCTAGATTTAAGCCACACTCCTGAATTTTTGACCAGGAAGTGACATTGCATCCCTGTCCCCCATGGTTGAATGATAAGCAGCTAAATCCCATAATTTTTTTTAATAAATGTGTTCCAAAGTCTGAAAATCAGTGTGTAACTTTAAAAATTGTCACTACCGAACACACATTCTCTTCAATTATGTAAACTTTTTGGGGTTTTATGCAAATTATTATGTTCTATGGGTGTACACCTCTTCAAAGATGTGTTTGCTGGCATTCTTTAATTATGCTCAAAATGAGGTAGAATTGTCACAACCGAAACATATGGTCAAGTTCGGTATGGTTCGGTAGTGACATTATAATTTCGGTAGTGACACAATGGAATGGTAAAGTAGTTAAATCTCATCATTTTGAAATAAATGTGTTCCAAAGTCTTAGAATCAGTGAGTTTCTAGAAGTATCATAATTTCAATCATCTATTTACAGCAAATAAGCAATTGATAAGTAATATTTGTACTATAAATGGTCATGGATGAACATTTTTCTTCAAAAATCAATTATTTTATTGACCACTAAACATACTTACTTGTAATATTCCCAACATCAGGCATGTTATGAGTTAAAATTAAGCAATAAGGTTGAAAGAATATGATAAAACATGACAAAGAAAATACTGGTCACTACTGAAGCACTGGTTGTTTTTACAAAAATATATATATATTGAGTTATCAACTAAAATGTTATGATACTGATTGGTTAACTGTATGTTCCATCTCATAAATCATTAACTCTGAAATCAATCTGATCAGCATTTTACATTTTAGAAAGAAAGATTGCACATAGATTTTGAAGAATTTTAAAAATTGAAATTTGAAATTTGTTAAAAAAATCATTTTTATTAATTGTTTTGTGAAAACCTTCAATAAAAATGTGCAAAAATAATCTTTACATAAGGGAAGTAAACATAATACTAACAGGTTAACATAATATTGTTTTTATCATACTTTAATACTATGTTTCGGTAGTGACAAATGTGGGGAGAAGAAAAACATTCCAATACAATATCAAATTTGACGATTCTTTTACTAGATATGTGTACTTCAGATATGGTACAATATATATAGGGGAAAAAAATTGGGAATATAACTTTAAAAAATTCAAAATATTTCCAACCTGACTTTGAACCAATTCAGTAGAATGGCCCATAAACAAGTCTCTCTTGTCTTTAGTGACTATGGTGGGTAAAATTGAAGAGAGCGAACCGGTGGCAGGGAAGAAAACACAGGTGAAGATGGAGAAGAAGGGGTCGGTGAGGAAACTGTACCCCAGCTCGGCTCTGTTCAAAAAGTGGGGTGACGAGCTGTCGGAGGAGGAGCAGAAGGAGGCTGAGGAGTTGTTTCAGAGTTACGGCTACAACGCCTTCCTCAGTGACCGGCTGCAACTCAACAGACCAATCCCGGACACCAGACCCAAAGGGTGAGTCACCATGTTACCCACACTCTTAAAGGGATACTTCACCCATTGGCATTAAGCATTGTATCAGTAGTAAACTGGTAGTATATTTGAATCCAGCCAGCCCTCATTTCCCCCTGAGACTGGAAAGTTCTGTATTTCTAAATCTGAAAAGGAGCTTCCAGTGATGCAAATATTATCATATTGCGTCACTGGAAGCTGTTGCAGTTAGCGTTGTGAAACTACAACACTAGTTCCTCATATTTTCAACCACTGAAGCTACAGACCAATCACAGATCGGTGGGTGGGAACTCACTCCCAGAATCAAAACTTAACGTCCACCATATTGCTTGGAAGCTATGCTATGGCGAGACGGTTGCTGCCGACAGGCCAGTCTTGTGTCGCGACCGCAGGGGCCGCTAGCGCTAGCGGCCTCACATTTCTACTACATATATTACCCAATGTCAATACAGATTCATGTTTCAACGGGTGAAGTATCCCTTTAAGGTCTTACTTTTAAAACTCCCTCAGTTCCTACACCTTTGTAGATCTGTGTGCACATTTTCGATCTATTTAACCAATTACTGATCAATGACATCACCATCAAAACTGCCCTCAACAGAAAAATGCAATATTTTTCCTTTCCACAGGTGTACTGAGAAAAAATACCCAGAGGATCTTCCCAGCGTCAGTGTTATCTTAATCTACCTGAACGAGGCTCTCTCCATCATTAAAAGGGCGATCCGCAGCATCATAGACAAGACACCAGCTCGGCTGCTAAAAGAAATCATACTGGTGGACGATCACAGCAGCAACGGTGGGTCTGCCTGTTTTTAGCTTTCAATCTAGTAGCAGTCTATTGAAGATTAGATGTGGTCGTCCAAAATAGTTCACTATAATATTATCTTTATCTTTCAGAGGATTTAATGGGCAAACTGGATGAATACATCATCTCCATCCATGAGGTACGTCCAGGCCTGGTGAAGAGAGTCCGGCATTCACAGCAGCTCGGACTCACCCAGGCAAGACTGTCTGGGTGGAAGGCTGCTGTGGGGGACGTGGTGGCCATCTTGGATGCTCACATTGAAGTCCATGTGCAGTGGTTGGTTTAAGTGTTGAGTGGTCTCAGTTGTTACAGTTCAGTTTTTCTCTCAGGGTTGATAGAGATTATAAAAACTGTGATCCCTCTTTATGCTTTGTGTGTCCAGGGCAGAGCCACTGTTAGCTCGCATTAAGGAGGATCGAACTGTCATACTGACACCAGTGTTTGACAAAGTCCACTTTGATGACTTGATACTGACTCCATATAGAACATATGCACATGGCTTTGACTGGGCTCTGTGGTGCATGTATGAATCCTTCAGACCTGAGTGGTACGCTCTGAACGACGAGTCACAACCTGGAAAGTAAGTTTCTCTTCTTAAGAGTAAATTTAACCAAAAGCAAAAGTAAAAATTTTAAGTTTAACCTTTTTAAATTTCTTCCACAGAATTAGCCAAAATTGATTAAGACTCATTTTTGTTTGATGAAATGCAGCTGGGGGAGTCAGTTAGTGTGCTTTCAAGCTAGCTAATTCGG